TAATATATATATTATATATATGTGTGTGTGTGTGTGTATGTTGTTGTGTATATGTATATATATATATATATATATATATATATATACAAATGTAGGTAGTATTTTTTATATACATATGAGATTTTATGTACTATGCTTGGTATGCCTTCTCTTTAGAAGAGAGGGCTATACATCGTCTTTATTCTCACTATTGACCTATACATTTCTTACATTGTGATTGGTTCGATAACTTCAGTTTGAATGCCAATTTGATGTTCAGCCGACATCCGAAGCGATGTATTGGGTCATTTGCTTACATCTCTGCATCAAACTCGATTTCGCCATCGTCTTCTTCACCCCATTCTTCGCCCTCGCCCTCGCTACCACTGCCACTATATCCGATGATGGCTACGACTTCAGACGGCACACATGTACCAATATCAACAGTAATAAAATGTAGTGCACTGAAACATCTTGCCGTATCCATGCTTTCACACTCGATTCGATTAATTTCGGAAATAGCAGTGGGGACTGATTTACATGCTTCCCTTCCCAGGCACACATTCCATCGTAAGTAATTGAGCATGTCCTCGAATCATTGAATGCGCCGCAGGCGCTTAAAACCTTCGCAATACCTTCAAGATCAATTGCCGTATATAAAGCAATTTACAGGCTTGCCATATCATCCGCACCTCGACACATAGCTTCCTCGAAAAAAGCATCGGGGATCAGTCTTGCATATCACCTCGTTTTTTGGGTAGCAAGCAGCGTCGTTCAGGCGAGCAGTGGCCACGGGGTCGCCTACGCAGATAAATTGCTTCATGTCAAAGTTACATGCGAACTCGGATAGACACAATTCGGATTCGTTTATAGAGGCACAGTAGGGAGCGACATCAACGAAGTTGGGGACAGCGGGCTGAGCTACAACTACACCGGAGAATATGACAGTGGTCGCGATTAAGAATATCATATATAAAAAATTGGTGTGTATCAGTATTGTGTATTATATACTTGTTTTGATTCCATGATATTTCGGTAAGTGACTATATATATGCAAGCTACAAACAAATTTTTTTTAAATAAGTTCCTGAATCCAAGCTATTTATAGTCACCTAAAACTGCCAACTGGTATCACTACGTTGACTCGAGTCTCGTCACTCTCGACAAGAGTCGAGATTCAAGAGTCGAGAGAGTTGATATTATTTATGTTATTAGAGCATAAACGTTTTCATTTTTCAACTTTCCACAGAATCCACAGTGAAATAATGTCTAATTTGTATTTATTTATTTAAAAAGTGTACTTTTAAAAAGTAAAAACACTGATGAGGTCACGGCGTCACGCCATTTTATTATATTTTTTTCTAATATTAATATATTACATTCATAAGTATTCTTTAATTCTATGTACATGAATATTTGATATTTTAGGCTTTGCTCTTTTCTGATAGAGAGAGCCTCTACTGAATCTAGAGTAGACTTTAGAGAGGCCCTCAGGCCTCAGCTGTATGTACTATGAGTATGAATGTAGTCATCAGTATTTTTTGAAAAATAAACAACAAAACAAAAATCAGGATGGAGCTGACGAGCTGAGGCTGAAAGCCTCTGACTGAAAGTTTTAGGCTTTCAGTAATCCTCAATTGGCCTCAAAGCTGTTTTTTTTTTAATGTTCATCAATTATCACCGCTGCAGTTACGCAGCACATATCTACTCCGAGCTATAAATATCAACATGTACATAGTTGCTCCGTATCTGTGACTGTAACATTACAAGATGCTATATCTTTAACACTTACTTGACACACACACAAGAGAGAGAAGAAGACGACACAAAACGTTCAAACTCACGCGGCCTCGTGGAGCGCCGAAGTCACGCCCCACAGTTCACAACTTCACGCCCACAGTCACAACTCACGGAGCCATAGGTTACACTCGCCTCCGGAGGCTCGTGAATCCTCAGGATTATTCGTGCAGAAATTCTGATATTTATAACGTCGACAAAATTTTAGAATAGTTTATTTCTCATTCAATTCATGTGGGCGCCTGGGTTCAAATTGATGCACCGTTCAAAGAGACAATTTTCGTATCCGTGAAAATGATCTATTGGATAGTATCAAATACCAGCGGTCCGTAGGCTTCAATGGCCCGCCAACCTAAAGTATCTGTATAACAAGCAGGCTCTGGTTTGACACTTCAGGGGCTCTGCAACTCAGATACTACGATGGTGTTGGGACTCAGTAATCCATATCCTTATCATTGAGTGTGTTGTGACCCACATAAACGGGCATAGACCTAACATGGCATATTGTTCCGAAAAAGAAGCACCGGGCGTTCAAACGCATGGTTGTATTATTCGTTGAAGAATAGGATACAGGTGAGGAGCATGTTATCCGCTACAATCACTCTGATTTGTCTTTTTGTTTCTTGTTTAGCGAGTGAGTGCTGCTGATTATGGGTATGTGATCAGCAAGTGAAGTCTCATCAAGGTTTGCTACAGTGCCATGCTGCATTTTGATGAAACTTTCACGTGTTTCGCGCATAAGATTCCGTTCCTCGCCGACCTGTCTAGCGAACAGCTGCTTTCGCTGCTTGGGCTTGCAACGGTCCCCATGCCTGCACAGAACGCGAATACTGTCAGGTCAATTAATCGCACAGACGGTGAAACGACTGGTGTCAGAATGGTGTATCTTGGACGTAAGAGGCGGGAACTGAGTGTGGTGTCCATCAGATACTATATCGATCACTTCGCATGAGACCATTCCTTTTGTCGATTAACAATATGATCTCCAGTTGGTGCGTGTCAGTGCACGAACATAGCTACATTAGGAAGGCGTCGGTGTTTTGATTTCATTTGCGGAATCCAGTTTCAAAGGTTTGTTTCCACCAGTGGGCGCAAAAGCATGCCTCCGAATGAAAATGTTGCTGTCAAAAACAACTTGTGCATAACTATAACTCATTACAAGCAGGAGCTTTGTTTGTATGGTCGAAACATGATCACGTGCAAATGATTGTCCTGCAAATTATCAATGCTTGAGAGAACGCGGAACGGCTATATACGAGCGTGCTTGTTAAAGTTCTGTGTAAACGTTGACATAGCCAACATAAACGGAAGGTGTTTAATTTTCTAGATAACGCTCGCTGAGTTTATCCGATTTTTTGTTGTTAAATTAAGTACCTTCTATATTTGATAGTCTTATTGGGGGTGAAAACAAAGAAGTTCATATATATATATACATGCTACTGTAACAGCTAAGTGAGATTATTAAGTAGCCTATAAGTGCGGGCTGATGTGGAAAAGTGATCGTTTAAAATACGCGATATTGATACTTGTATGTGGAGAAAAAATAGTTTTATAAGCGTCAGTGAAATACCATACAAAAAAAAAACTCATATCTAAATAATCACGTGTGTATGTATTCGTATAATATACTTATAATCTATGAGCATCTTACTCAATGTTAGTGTACTGTGCGTATTGAGTATGCAAAACACTTCATGTAGGAGTAGACACTGTCTGGCATTACGTACATGCTAAGTATGTATTT